TGTCTGACACCATGTCTGCCTGCCTGCATGCTTGCTTCCATATCCTCGCCCCAGTGATGGTAGTGGAGTCATTCTTTTTTAGTATATGTGCTGCCAAAGCGAGTACACGTGGAGTCAATCTTGAGACTGTGAGCAAACCCTCAATAAACCCATCTTGGTCATGGTGTCTCTGCTTAGCAATAGAAAAGTACGATACTCAACCAAGAATCCAGAGAGGCTCCATTATTTTCAGAGAACCTCATAGTGGTTTCTCTTCTTCCTTGTGCATTTTAACAATGCTTTGCATTTCCTATAGTGTTTTAGGGAAGTTATATGCAATCACATTGTCTTTCCACTAGCTGCAAGTTTTAGCACTATTCTGCCATTGTGTAATGTGAAATGAAGAATTGATCTATACTTAGCAGGAGAGACTTCCAGGGAGTCAGGTGACTCTTGCAATAAGGGCAGCTCTTTGGCCCTAAGGTCTCCAGCATGGTGAAAGTTAGGCAAGTGAGTTTTCTCTTCTCAACAGTAGTAAATACAGTTAGGAAGAACCATGCATGGGAAATGAAGGAAAAGGATGGCATGATTGGACAAGAGATCAAAGAGTCCTTTACCCTGAGCCTGACCTGAGGGGCTGGCTCACTGTAGGGAAGGTAGGTCAAAGGTCAGGGCCTTGAAGCAAGGAGAAAAGTCCATTCAGTTCGGTTAACAAATATTTTCCTTTGGTTGATCAGTGAGGGGAGGCAGCTCAGCTAATAGTTTATGAAGCAAAGAAAGGGACTTTGGAGGATCTGCTCTTCTGAGTATGTCCTGTCATATGGAGACGTGGTTTTCTGTTGTTGTTTTGTATTTCCTCTGTAGTAAGTGTATTATACACCAGAAAGGATGGAGAGCTGGGATTTCAAGTGTTTCTTGTATGTGTTCATGCACATCCACACGTGTACCTATTTATTTATTTATATTTGTGTGTGCCTACATGAGTTTACATGTGCATGCAGATGCCCATGGAAGACTGAAGAGGATGTTGGAACTGGAGTTACAGGGAATTGTGTGTTGCCCGTTGTGGCTGCTGGGAACTTAACCCACGTCTTCTGTAAGGACAGCAAGCGCTCTTAACTGCTGAGCCGTCTCTCCCACCTTCCATCCTGTTTTTTCAAGGGTTCTAGGGATCCAGACGTATGTCCTTATGCTTACATGGCCATTTTTTCTTTAAACTTCCACTGTTTCCTAGTATCAAAAGTTTCAAATACAATTCTGCGGTGTTGGTGAACACCATTTTTGGATCAATTTGGATTGTGTTTAGGAGTAAGTAAGGAAAAACCGGACTGAGGACGCCCTAAATAAAGCTCCCATTTTGTCTTGTCTAACAAATAACTCAGAGATCTACAGATACCAGTTTAGCTGACCCATCATGCCAGAAACTCTGGACCTTTTCCACTCTGCTGTTTATTTGTTGCTTTTCAGTTCCAGAAGAGTTGGCACAGATCCAAATACTGTGTCCCCATTCAGAGCAGGGAGACAGTGTCACTTGGATGCTCTTCAACACAGGAGACTAGAAAAGTCACTAGCCATTCACATGCTCATGGGAGCTCTCCAAGAAGGGAGGAAGTGGGTGGATCATAAAAACCAACCTTGTTTCTTCTGGCAATTGTATTCTGTGCATGATACTAGTTAATTCACTGCCATCCACAAACCTTTCAGTATTTGAACTGTAGGAAGCGGTCTTAGAAATGGAACATTAGACACCCAGTATGGTTTGCTATAAATGGGGGATGTGAGAAATTTTTAGAGGTAGCTGTGGGAGATTTCAGGAAAGTCCAAACATCTCTTGCATAAACATATTTGGAGTTATTTATTACAGTGTCAGTAAGCTTGGAAAAATACCTAAAACAAAATTTTTTCAATTATGTGTAAATCTAATTTTTTAAAAGGCTCGATATGTTGTTAATATAAACTCCACTCAAATAAAACTAAGCATTGTGTTTTTCTATGTCAAATTGCAAAACAGTGGTACTTAATCCCAGCAAGTCGCTTCCTCGCTGTTTCTGAGAACACAGTCTGGTGTATACGTTTTCTAAATATTTGAAAAGAGGGCAAACAGCCCTTGAATGTTAATGTTCCCTAACACTCCTCTCTGAGAAAACTTCCCTATTGAAAAAATGGACTAGGATTGTGAACGGAGAGTTTTATGATCATTTTGGAAATACTCATTTCTATAAATATTCTGAAATGGACTTTCCATGCTCTCAATATACTAGTAAATGTAAGAATAATTCCAGCTGTTGATGCCATATCATATCCATTCATTTATGAAGACAAACATCTGCTCCCTTTAAGGAAATACTATCCACCATTATTAATAGATAGTTATGAACTGTGAGGTTACATGTCACTCATTAAGTAGTTCTTCTTAATGTCTTCAGACTTCCTACAATGAATATGGATAGTTTTTTACAATGATTAAAACTCACTTCATTTTTTAAAGGAAATAAAAATGAGTATGTTTGCTGGATGCATTTAGAAATCATGAGTGGGAAAGTGCTTTGATCTGGAAGTTTGGACCAGGCTAAGAACTCAGCAAAAGTGGGACTAAGAAACCAAGAAGGGGGCAGGCAGAGGTCTTGTTCCTCTGGAGTGCTTATATTTCTCAGTCCTGATGCAATGGGAGGGACTAAAGGAAATCATCACAATAGTTCATTCTTCTGTGTTCATGCAGGCTGTCAGTCGTTCTATTTTTCTCTTTGACTTTCTGGTCCTCTTCTGTGAAACAGATAGAATCAGGGTCATGGAAGGTTGTAACTGCATTCAGGCAGGGGTGGGACCTAATCTAAGAAAATGGTTTGTCTTAATTTTTATAGCTATCCACAGTAAAATCACAGTAAATCGAGGCCCCACCCCATGATCATTATCTTAACATGGAAGAAACCTGTTTTTGGTGAGCAAATGTAGAATGTATATGTATATTAAAATGCATCTGTACTGGTCTCGATGGGTGTGTATGGGGAACCCCTCGCCTTACTCCTTTCTGTCAGTGCACTGGGGACAGGCTGAAGCTGTTTCTCCTGAGGCCTCTCATCAGAACCTCAGGGCATCAATCCATGCTGAGCTATATAGCCAGATACCACCGTTGGCTTGTGGGAGACCCCTGGCATCAAGTCATATGCTTGTACAGCTGGCAGGTCACCATAGATTCACTTCTAATTTCACCTTCTTCTTTTTCTCTTTTTGGAAGAAGGGGGCTGCATTCCTTCACAACCATCTGAGATTCCTAAACCGGGATATGGTCTGGTATGTTAATGCCAGCCCAGTTGGAAGCTGTTCTATAGAAGGCTCTTCCAAGGCTGTCTTATACTTCCCTTGGGTTCTCAGTGCAGGGCTTCTTTCCTGATAGTGGAACCCAAGCCCCATCTAAGGGCTGTGTTTTATGCACTTGCTTGTCACCCTGTTGCTTTTGTCAGGTCATTGCTTTTGTCCCTTACAGCTTCCTCTTCACACTAAGGGCACTAAGCCAGACCAGGCCCAGGGAGTCCTGAGTTGCCACTGGACCCAGTCAAATGTGGAGGGGCCATCTGGAGCCTAGAGCCATCACAGAAAAGGATGTGACTTGGCAGGAGAAGGAAGGAACTTGCACTTGTAATCTAGAAATTGTCTTTTTCTAAACAACAGGACCACCTGTTTCAACATGATTTGAAGCACACAGCTGTTCCCTTTTTACTCTTCTTGTTCAGTAAAATAAAATAAACAAAAACATATAACTCCCCGTACTCAAATAAAAACAACTGAAGAACTCTGTCTTGTAAAGGACTTCACAAGATGCATTGGTTTCATTGTGCTCTGGATATGTAGAATATACCCCTTCCTCAGAACCCTGGGCTGCCCATGATACCTGGAAATCAACCAGACTAGACTAGAACTCTTGCTCACCCCAGTAGCTCACAGATCCCCTTTCCAGTTTCTTCTGTGTTAGTGGAATCCACTCCCTCACCTACCTTGTCCAGCAATGGTTGACAGAGTTTTCCTTTATGATGTATTTCCCTCCCCTCATTCTTCCAGCAGTAATTCCTATTGAATTTACCTTCCTGGTATTCCCCCATAGATGTTAGCTCCCTGTTTCTGTCACTATTATCTGGATTAGTGCACTGAGTTTTATTTTGTTTCCTTTCTGTCTGTTAGTCTGTCCATCTGTCTGTCTGTCCGTCTATTTACCCACCATCCTGACCGAAGTTTCCCCTCCCTGCCTTTCCAGTTTCTCCTGCACCCCCCTACCATCCACCACTTCTCCTCTGTTTCTCTTCAGGAAAGGGGCAGGCCTCCAGTGGATGTCAACTAGGCATGAGTTTCAAGGTCATTTCTGTTCCTCGATGGTGGTGTTCTTTATCAACTCAAAAGACTTTTGAGCTTTTGCAAGCTAATTAGATCTGGCCCAGACTATCCTTAGTCCTATCTGGCCACATGTCTGTCCACAGTCCTCCTTTGGTTTTCCAGAGCAACGAGAACCAAAGCTTTACTCTTACCATGGTTTCCAAGCTCTTTAGTGTCTTGATGCTTCAGTGTCTCTAACCTTAGCTAGCCCCTACCACTCTGTGTTCTAGACTTCTCTCTTTAATCATATAAGTCTGTCAATTACTCTTACCAGGAGTGGCTTTCTTTGTTTCTCAGTGGCTAGTCCTTCTGACATTTAGAATATGATATCCTGCTAAATCTTGGATGATGGTCCCTATAGTGGCTTTTTAAACCTACCTGTTGCTATGGATCCTCCACAAAACACTATGTAACTCTTCTTATATTCTACTTAAATCGTCTGGCTAATGCTTATGACTAGTCCCCCCACTAACACCTACAGCTGAATACAAGACACCTGAGACCAGGAGTCGTACCTGCTTCTGTACTGTGGTCACCAAGACCCCAGGAGAGAACAGTGTTTGGTGTGGTTGAATCCCAGCTCCAGCTGTTTTCCATGTGATGTGGGATCTCAACTCTGATATCAACAAACCGTTTCCCTCGCTCTGTTTCCATAGCCAAGTGGACTTTATGAGTATAAAGTGTTCGGTGTCCTGGAAGGTTGCTCACCAGCTCTTCTCGCAGACGTTTACATGGACTTAGACTACAGGAAAAAATGGGACCAGTATGTGAAAGGTGAGTGATGGCTTGCTTAAATTAAAAATCCTTAGAGAGTTAATTTACTTTTGACTAATTTAGTCTTGTCATACTCGAGGCTATAGCACGGCCTTCGCCACTTCTGGTACTCACCCTGACAGAGTCTTAGAGTCAGTCTTCTGTTTGTCCTCACGGTTGCTTTGCCCTGCTTCCTGAGCTTTGTTCACATACGCAGCTTGATTGCCATGGAAACCTTCTTGGAAGATGGGCATCCAGACTTCCTTTGGGAAATTGAATCAAAGATCTCCAAAGGAGCAAGGGTCCGTACATGTGAGGAAGTGAGAGAGTGGGAGTGGGAGTGGCTGGAGGGCACGGGAGGTCCAGGAAGCCGCAAGATGGAAGGCACCAAGCTGCCTGTTCAGAAGCCACTGGAAGGTGGTGTTGCTGGGTGGTGATGCTCTCTGACCTACCTCCTTTACTAGTAAACTGAGAACATTTCGTGACCTGTGCCAGGGACAGGATCTACAGTCTACATAGTCTCATAGTCTATATAGTAGAGAGAAACACCGAGTTGGAATGTATTAAACTGAGAACCCTCTACATCTTAGAGAAGTGTCTCTTGTCATCTCAGCCATGGTAGAAGAGACTTGCACAGTCAACCAAGGACAAATGGAGTCTTTAGTCAAGACTGCTGCAAGTATCAAAGACCCACCCCCATCAGGATGTTTCTTCAGCTCTAGCCTGTGTTCCTCTGTATTGACCTAATTCTTGGGCAGATTCCTGTTCCTTGTGAATGTGTCCTCCAGAAGATACAGGCTCTGACTCTAATCATGCAGATAACTCCAGGAAAGAGAGTCACATTTTCCTAATAAAGGAGGGGGCGTGGCATGAATTCTGAACATGTAGAGGCAACAGGCCCACTCATCTCTTCCCTTCATGACTATCTTTAGTGTCCTGTGACACCGAAGGGGCCACAAAGCTCCCTAATCAATGGTCTGTTTCTGATGGAATTCTTTTAAACGCTACATGGACCCTGCACATCTCACCCACGGATGACTTGATCGTTTCTGGGTGGTTAGATGGGAGCCCACCACACAGGCTAAGCGTATCCCTGCTCTTCAGTTCTTTTGCTATTGCCTCGAGAGTTGCAGTTTGCATGCCTGGCCTAAGAGCATTAAGGGAATTTGGTTACTGAAGCTGTGGCACGTGGACAGAGGAAAGAAGCAAGAAACGCAGAGTTAGCTGTAATTCAGCCATGTTTCAGCTGTTTGAGAACACAGCTCTCTGTGGGCCTTTTGTTTCCCAGATGCCATGAACCTATATTTACACTCTGACTTCCTCAGTGTCTGGCTAAGCATTGGGAAGCAAACCTTGATGGTACTCCTGGTACTCTAGTGACATCTGGTGGTTTACCTGGTTATTTCTTGATACCGGGTTCCTCTCATATTCTATCCCAGCATGCTGTTGGTACAATGGACAAGTGTTGGGGACTTATTTAGGTTTTCTGTGTTTCTGTGTCCTCTAGACCATCCCTGGGCAGCAAGCTTTCAGAGATATTAAATATGCTTTTGTTTCAAAAAGTAGTTCTATGTCTGGTGAGTTAGGGATTTGTCACACACTGAGGTTGAATAGGTTCCTTGAAGCCATTGGATTCGCAGGTACATTAACTTCTTGTGTTCTCCTTCAGAACTCTATGAGAAGGCGTGTGATGGACAGATGGTGGCATACTGGGAGGTGAAGTACCCCTTCCCTCTGTCCAACAGAGATGTATCCTTTTCTCACTGCACTCTGTTCTGTCTCCCAGGGTGTGCTGTGTTCCTCAGCCCTTACACTGGGATCCACTAACATCAGGGCAGTTGTGGACAACACTGTCTTAGATTCTTGTGGAACCATATGCTAATGCCAGAGCTTCTTGTGTAACTTTGGGGACTTCAGAGTGTTATTTCTTGGTGTGGCCACTTAGGACAGGAACCACACCCAGAGTCACTGGAAGGTGACTTTCAGAGAAAATGGAAATTGATGAGCCTCACAACTGGGGGAACAGGTTATGAAGAGTGTTAGTCCAAACCTTTTGATCTCACAGAGAAGCAGATGGGGCCCATGAAATGAGTGACAGGCAGACAGACTGATATGACAGAGGAGGCCTAGGCCTGCTTTGTTTCTAACCTTCTCTCTTCAACATGGTCTTCTTGACTACTGTTTTTTGACACTGGGTACAGGATTTTCCTCTCCATTTCTTTATAAAGTAAAGCAATTGACTGAAATATAGGGGGATTACCCTCAACATCTAAGCATGTGTGAACAAATGGCTGCCCCAACAATAGTCCATCTAAGGCCAGTGGAGATGGGAAAGTAAATGATTTGTATGGAAGAAGATGCCACGGTGAAACCCATCACTTTGTACATTGATTTTAAAATTAATAGAAAGTAAAGATCGAAGTTTTTTAAAGATTTCGTTGTTTTTGATAGAATAGTGCTGCTGACCTTGGGAATGTTTTGTGCGTGCCTACAGAGGTGGAATCATTTTTGGTGTTGTTGGCCAACCAGTGTTAACTCGAAGAGAACATCTGCCAACCAAAATTGGAGATATCCATAGGTTTTTCTACAGTTGAGTTGTGATTCGGATACCCTCTGTGTATAGAGGTCTATGGTTACAGCTGCGGATTAGACAATGTCTATGGGTTGATGCAATTTCTATCCGATGTTTATTCTGCCCCTAGATTTCTCTAATGCCCCAAACATTCTGGCCTCTGGACCTAAGAGTGTTTGATTAGACTTCCCCACAATTACAGTGAAATGGACAGTGCTCTCTGTGTGCCTTCTTGGAGAAAAGAAGGAATGTGATCCTTGTATGACCAAGCGTTCAGGAGGTCTGTTCAGAGCTAGGTAATAGATGCTCTCAGTGAGAATTATCATTGGTTGTGAGGCTCAGCGCTGCAGGGAAAGTGGGCTTTACGCAGGAGGGAGCGGATGCTAAGTGAAAGATGCAGAGTGACCTCCCATTGCTACCAATGTGGGCTGCCCTTATGCTGGTGTCTTGCCTTGACTGGCTATGCAGTATGTCTACACCCGCCAGCGGCGAGACCTGGATATGGACGGGAGGAAGATCTACGTGGTTCTGGCCCAGAGTATCTCTGTACCTCAGTTTCCAGAGAAGTCTGGGGTAATCCGAGTGAAGCAGTACAAGCAGAGCCTGGCGATCGAAAGCGATGGCAAGAAGGGGAGCAGAGGTAAAGCCTGGGGTGCGGGCCAGCAGCTAGCCAGTGTCACTTGACTGGGAGGCAGTTTAGCTTATCTAGTGAAGGTACATGGCCTGGGGACAGAGGAGATGGAAGGTCAGGACGTGGGAGCTTCTCCATCCACATCAGAGATTGGCTAGGGCTCGATGCAGACGTTTCAGTCTGACCCAATGCATTCTTTTTATCTGTTTATATTTATTTATTTTATTCTTTCATGCACGTGTGTGTTTTGTATGCACGTGTTTCTTGTCTGATGTCTATGGAGGTCACAAGAAGGTATCATATCCACTGAGTCTAAAGTTACAGGTAGTTGTGAGCCACCTCATGAGTGCTGGGAATTGAACCAGGATCCTCCTTAAGTAAGTACTCTTAAAAGCTGAGGCCCACCACCCCTTCATTCTTTATTGATCAGATGAAATCAGAACATTGAAACCTGTGGGTTTAGAAAGAGTTGCTTCAGGCTTATCTTGTAGCTATTGGGGCTGGGCCTAAACATGGCCAGTGGATTGGCAGGTGTGGATTGGAGGCTCCAGCTCTGACAAACACAAGGCCAGAGACGCAAGAACATCAAGTTCCAGTCCTCAAAAAGGAAAACATGTGGCATCCGCATCTGACATACTGGCATGAGTGTGGCCTGACAGACAAAACTCTGAACCCCAAGTCTGATGCTTGTAGGTCTGTCTTCTCACTCTTCTGAGCCTTTATGTCCTCATGTATGCTAACTGTCAGTTCCTTCGGGCTGTCTGGATAATGAAATGAAAGATGATGTGCAAAATGTCTAGTGTTCATCAGGTGTCTTAAGAGAGCACAGCCAAGTGTTTTTCTGGCTGCATTTTCAACAATGCCCCTGTGTCAGTAGCCACAAGGCAGGTTGAGGCAGTTCACTTGCTCCGTCCTCTGTGCTCTCTGGGCCCAAATTGGAAGACAGGTTTGCTGGGCTTTGTTATTGTATTTTTCCAGCCCCGTGCCCCACCCCCACTGTCCCACCCCCACCTCCTCCTTCTGAATTGTCTTTTCTTCTCTTTTAGTATTCATGTACTACTTTGATAACCCGGGTGGCCAAATTCCGTCCTGGCTCATTAACTGGGCAGCCAAGGTGAGATCCCAGGAGTCAGGCAGCGGGTGATCGTGCATTTGACAAATGTTGACTTAGTCTGTGGGTTGTCATGTTGAAGAGACACATTGTCCCAGGGTAATGAGAGTCTTTTATGAAGAGCTTGGTTGAGTGACTTGGTGAGAATTGGAGTGGCCAACACCCAGGATGGAGGCTGAGACATGGGACAAAGAATCTGTTAGCTAGGAATGTCAGCCCTTCCCTGCTGGTAGCTACAGACCCTCCAAGATCACTCTCAGGAAATTCCAGACATAAGGCTGCCCCTTGTAGGGACAACAGTGTTTTCATTATCTGCTTATGAGACAGTTAAACCTTGCTTAGAGACAGGCAGACCCTCCCTGGCCCAAAGGAAGCCTCTAGTTCAGTTGTCCTTGCTTTTTTTCAGTTTCTAAGGCCAAGGAATGGTGATAGTGGCCCAAGTCACTATAGGCTGCCACTCCTAGGATCCTGCCCCACTGTGACAATTCAGTAGGCTTTGTGCGGGTCCTGTGGTGAACTCCAGTGGCTCGTGGGAAAGTAAGAATGCCTATAGATGTCAGAGGCACAGGTGCAATTCTGAATCTGGGCTCTGTTACTGAATGTCTTCTGTTAGTTAGGAAAGCCCTGACTTCCTTCCTTTTTCAAAAACCGAAGATGAATAATGCCCCCTGCTTGGAGTTGAAGTCAGTAACAGCATTTTTGTAAAATCGTGCACAGTGCTTGATACTAAACAGCATATCCCATCCCCTAACTACAAACACTGTTGTTAATACAGTAAGGCAAGCCCTTCCACTTCTTTAAGGAAGTATCCAGCAATCTAATCCCCAACTCCTGGTTTGCTTTGTAATCCCAGTCTTTTGTTTCATTTTAATTTTTTCTTTCTTTTTGTATTTTTAAGAAATGATATGTGTATGGGGATGTGTGCATATGTGCCTGCAGGGTCCAGAAGAGGTGTTGGAGTCCTTGGAGCAGGAGTGACAGGTGGCTATGAGCTACCTGACATAGGTGCTGGGAACGGAACTCATTCATCACAGGCAAAGCATGTGCTTTTAGGTGCTGAGCCATATCCCTAGCCTCCCTTCCTTTTTAATAAATAATTATTTCAAAAAGAGTTCTGTAGATTTTATTAGCAGAAGCCAAACTGAAGGCCCTGTTTTTGAAGCAGCAGTCTGTCTGCTCTGGGTCTTGCCTTCTGCTGTTTTCTGTGACTGCATCATGTTGAAATTGGATCGGGGCCCCATTGTCTTTGATCACCCCTAAACCCATTGTTCTTCTTTACCCCCATTCCAGAGAATGAGGAACATATAGAAACATAGTCTGTTCTTTTGCAGAATGGAGTTCCAAACTTTTTGAAGGACATGGTGAAAGCGTGTCAGAACTACCACAAGAAAACCTAAGGAAGGGACTAGGACCACAGCATCTGTGAAAGACATCTCTGGATGTGCTACACCAACTGAGGCTCGTCCTTCCGTTTACACTTTCCATCTTCAAAGCACTACACATTCCCCAAGCGAGCTTGCCTCTGTCCGGATCCATCGTTGCCTTCTTTCCCACTGGTCATATTCAGAGCCTGCTACCTTCTTCCACTATTGAATAGGGGCCCATGCTTGTTTATGTTTCATTAGGGAAATCTTTAGTGGGGAGAAGGAGCCATTTTGTTGTGCCATTTGGAGGGGGAATGAGTGAGAGGAGGAAGGATGACAGGATATAAGAGCAGCCCTTCCTGGAAAGCAGGCTCACTTCATCACTCTTGCAACTAGAAGTGGTTTTTGGTCCACAGTTGACCTTCCATGTTCGAACACTGGAGATACAGTGATATCTGTTCTCTTGATGCTTCGCTGACTTGGATAGGCTGGGATTTGAGATAACAAGCAAGTGTGGCTGTGTTCCTACTTGGGCAGGATCAGTAGCTGCTGTGATATCAGACCACTCTGAAGAGTGTCCCAGGTCTGACTGAGCACATGCTGAGATGACCATGTTTTCCTAATTGCCCACATCTGGATTTTTCCTTTCCCATAATCCACTGAGAAAATGTTGCCTATACCTCTTGAGCTATGCATTTGACTGCAAGCCTGTGGCTTCAAAGATAGCTTGTGTATAGCCTGATGACAGTGTCTTCCTATGTGCTAAGGTGACTTTCCCTTCTAGAGTGTTTGGAGATGTTGAAGGGACAGTAAGTTTACAACAGGGTGAAATTGAAGTAGTGATTTGGTATGTTCTTCACCTTTTCCTTAGGAATTCTACCTCTTCAAAACA